CTGTTCCAGGATTGCTTTGGAATCTGCCAAGTAACCCGGTAACAAATGCCAAGTCAGGGCACGTACATACTTACGCATATTGTAAGCTTCCGACAGCTGAAGCATATGGAACCATTTTCATTTGATCGATCTCATACTGATTCTTGGGGCATTGAAAATCTCCATATCTGTCGTCCTTGACTATAGGAGCAGGTGAGGGACTACATTTGTGCATACTGAATTTCTTTAAGATCTTTTCTATGTATGCCTTTTGTAATAGTCCTAATACCCCTTTACTTCTATCTCGGTGAATCTCGATTCCTAGAACGAACGAAGCTTCACCAAGACCTTTCATATCAAATTTTGAGGACAAAAACTTCTTTGTCTCTAGCAGTAGATTGGCATCACTACTAGCAAGTAAGATATCATCCATATACAGGACAAGGAAGATAAACTTCACATTCTTAAACTTTGCATAGACACAATTGTCCTCTACATTCTATTTAAACCCAAAATTCTTTATTGTCTGATCAAACTTCAAGTACCACTGTCTTGAAGCTTGTTTTCATCCATAAATGGATTTTTATTTAGGCGACATTCCATTCGTTCTTTTCCTTAAATGACAAAACCTTTCGGTTGTGCCATATAAACATTTTCCTCCAAGTCCTTGTTGAGAAATGTCGTCTTTACATCCATTTGATGTAATTCTAAATTGTAATGTGCCACTAATGCCATTATGATTCTGAAGGAATCCTTACATGAGACTGAAAAAACATCTCATTGTAATCAATCCCTTCTCTTTGCGTAAAGCCTTTTGTCACAAGTCGCGCTTTATATCTCTCTATACTCCCTTGAGACTCAAGTTTTGTTTTGTAGACCCATTTACAGCCTACTGTTTTGGCTCCTTTAGAAATTATTTTCAAGTCTCAAACTTTATTGGCATTCATAGATTTTATTTCATCTTCCATGGCCTCAAGCCACTTTGATGAATGATCACTTCTCATGACTTCTTCAAATGAGGTGGAATCATCCTCCATTTAAAATTTCTCAGTGTTGTATACTTCATAGTCAACAGGAATAGCTGATTTTCTAACTCTTTGAGACCTTCTAGGAGCCTCCACATTTGGCACATCTTCTGTTTGAGGCTGTCGTTGCTCCCCCTCATGTGTGGCAATAGGTTCTACAGGATCCTGAAGAACAGGTTCCTCATCGTCATTCATTGTTGCCACAGGCGGAATAACAACATGTGCTGGCACCACAGTATCTTGCACTATCGGTGCAACGACAACAGGTAGTGAGAAAAATGGCTCATGAATCATCAGAGTGGGCGCCTACACCCGCTTCTCTTCAAGGTCAATTTCTCGAGCTACCATACTCCCCCTCATCATTTCATCCTCTAGGAAGACAGCGTGTCTCGCTTCCACAAACTTTGTATGTCTCTCTGGACAGTAGAAACGAAAACCTTTTGACTTTTCTGGATAGCCAATGAAATGGCAACTTACTGTTTTAGGATCTAGCTTCCCAATGTTTTGGTTAAATACTTTAGCCTCAGTAGGACTCCCCACACACGTAAGTGGTTTAGTGAGGATACTCTTCCTATCCATAACTCATACGGTGTTTTGGACACCGACTTACTTGGTACTCTATTGAGAATATGAATGGCGGTTTTTAACGCCTCCATCCACAGGCTCAACGGTAAGGTGGAGTAACTTATCATACTACGCACCATATCCATCAGGGTACGATTGCGTCTTTCAGCTACTCCATTATGCTGAGGTTCGCCCGGTGTAGAATACTGGGCTACTATGCCATTCTCCTATAAGAACCTTGCAAAAAGTCTAGGAACTTAGCCATATGGGATATGCCGACCGTAGTATTCCCCCCACGGTCGGACCTGACTATCTTAATCTTTAAATTATGTTGGTTTTTAACTTCTGCCTTAAATATCTTAAATTTATCCAATGCTTCTGTTCTTTCTTTGATTGAATAAATGTAGCCATAATGGGAGTAATCATCTGTGAATGTTATGAACGAATCATAACCATCCACACTCTTTACAGAAAACGGACAACAGATGTCTGTGTGAATAATCTGTAAAATTCCTACGCTTCGTTTGGCATCTTTCTTAATTTTCTTTACATACTTTCCTTTTATGCATTCTCTGCATTGTTCTAAATCTGAGAACTCTAATGGAGGAAGAATATCATTCTTAACTAGTCTTTCTATTCTCCCTCTCGAAATATGGCATAAACGATAGTGTCATAATTTCGACGACGCATCATGAGCTCTCTTTCGTTTTCTGTTTACATCCGCAGACGATGATACATTCTCATTGTCGCACGCAACGTTTTTATCATCGCATACAACATTCACATCATCACGTAGTGATAACAAATAGTATGTGCTCTCTTATGCCACTATTTTCAGAGTACCTCTCTGTCACCAGCTGCTTTATCAGCTGGGTAGCATATGTCTTTGAAGAGTCAGTGAACTAACTCTTTATTCTATCGAGTTACTCGGTGACCGTGTCACACTCTAGGATTGAGCCCACAATTGCAGGCTCAATCGTGTTCTTTATCACAGCCAAACATTTCTTGTTGGCAGTGACCCACTTCCTATGCTCAAGGTCATAGGACATCTTTTGAGATTCAAAATCCCTCTCTTTAGTTGCCCAAGCGGCATCAACCTCGTTTGTCTCCCTCACCGGTGTCACAGGCTCAGTGGGGCACGGTGAGGTTACTACCCAGTCCACCTCAGTCAAGATGAAGGTCAGGTCAATCTTTTTCTTCCACTCCGTGTAGTTGTCACCTTTGAGAGTGGGGATCTCTTTGATACAACCCATCAAGTTGTATCCGCCTTAAAACATAATTCATATAAAGTGAGAACATAAATAATAACAACAATTGCATGACTTGATTCAACGTTGGTCAAAATTAAAACATACAATTGTTCTTATACACTAATTCTACATTACCATTGGGCAGAAATAGAATTAATGAATAAAATCATTAAAATTACGATATTGTTATTAACAACGTTGGTCAGAAAATAACATCATAATCATGTCAAAATCTCTTTTTCTAAAATTAAATATCACGTTGGTTCAAAATAACTGGAGAATAAATAATTTCTTTAGCAGCAAAAACATGAAAAAATTCATTATCTATTTTTCAGAAGCATTAAACTTTTCTCAAATATTCTCTGAAAAATTATCCCGTTGGTTCAAATTTTAACAGAAATATTAAAGTAGACAAATATCATCAAAAATTGCTTCTGAAAAAAAATAAAACTTAAACTCGTATGAACACTGTTCATTTGGCCCAAACCAGCTGAAACAGTGAATTCTAGCCCGGCTTTTTTTTACACATGGCAAGGCGCCGCAGACTTCCCAAGCCGCAAACTAGGCTCGGGTAAGAACAAACTCTCGTCCGCTTGCTGCGCCTACGCTTAGGCCAAATGTTGGCCCGTTCACTGTCGTCCGTTGATCTGCATCGGACGGTCGCGCGCGCGCGTCGATCGAACAAAACCCCCGACGCGGCGTCCTCCCCCGAACCCTAACGCATTCGGCGCCTCCCTTCCTCTCTCTTCGCCGCTCTCCTCTTCCCTCTCAGCGTAGCCTCAGTGAGCGACCGAGAGCGAGACGCGACGCGGGGATGGTGGCTCCGCCATGGCACCCCTCACCGACGCACGCGGCACCGTCGAGCGGCACCACGGTGGTGCCCTTTGGCCCGAGCCCGAGGCGGAGATCGTGCGGCGGCGCTTCTCCCGCCCCGGCGGCTGAGGTTGACTTCCCGCGCGGTGTCCTCACGACGGTCGACGGTGGAGACGGAGCAGGCGGACCCCAGGTAGGAGCTCCTGACCCTTGTCCGTTTAGTCTCTTCCCCTTTCTCGTCGCGAGTTAGGGTTAGGGTTTCGTTAGGGTTCGGATTAACCCAATTGGTTTTTTCTCTCGGTTTTGATTCGAGATCGCGAGATAAGCACCTTCCCCTCTTCCCGTTTTTTTCTTTTGGATTTTCTTTCTTTTCTTTTCGGGGTTGAACCGATTTTGGGTTGGGGTTAGGGTTACTGTTCTTCTTCCTCGACGGGTTAGTGTTCGGTTGAACTCTCTGCATCTCGATTTCTTTCCCAATTAGGGTTAGGGTTTGACTCACTAGAGTCACTATTTATCTTCCCCAGCGAGTGCTTTGTGGGTTAGGGTTCGGCTTCACGTGCCGAGACCCCTTTCTCTTCTCTTCTCAAATCCGAACGGGCTCTGTTCTTTTCTTGCCGCGTGTCGACGAAGACGGCGGTGTGGCACCTTTCCTCGCGTGGTGGCGGTGGTGACCGGCAGTTGAGTGATGCCCGCCACCCTCCCGGTCTCTTTTCTATTTTCTTTTACCCGGTTAGGGTTAGGGTTTTAATCCGAAACGGATCTAACCCTCTGATCCTCTTTGATTTCTTTTCAATTCTCTACCCCATACTAGATCTACACACTGTTAACCCTGCTCTGGTACCATTGTTAGGAAACACAGTACCTCTGAAACGTAGATCAGGGGGTAAACATCTTACTTAGATGAAGAAATTGGTTCCTCTACTTCGCCCTGGCGCAGTTGCGCCGAAGCCGCGTGGACACCGGTGTCGTGGAAGCTCAGCGCGGTGGAGTCCAGCGTAGTGGTGGCGATGTAGAGGCGACGATGACGCGAGGTGCCGCGGTCCGGTGGTGACGACGAAGTCAGTGGGTCTTCCCATCGCTGGCAGCACTCTCTTTAGATCGGGTTAGGTTTAGATGTTAGTAGGTCACGGCGGCTCCAATCAACCTCATAGTTAGAGCTATAATCCCCACCTCTCTTTATAGTGCTGTGCAACAGGGGCCCACCAACCATATTAGGGTTGAGCGCCCCCGATCAGGGCGCAGATCCAAGGGCCCAATAGGCTGGTGGAGATCAACTAACAACCATTTCTCCTGGGTTTACCTCCCCCTGCTTTCCAAATTAGGTCTTATGTGTGACTGCGATTGAAAGAAAAAAAAAACAGGGGGTTATCTAAGACCCTAAATCTCTTTGCTCCCACATTTGAATCTGCTTTATTGAATTTTCTTTCCTCTGCTTTAGCAACTTGAGCTCATGAGGGTCGAAGGGAGGAGGCAGATCACATGGGCCTGCATCACGAGCAAACATCACCATGGATTTCATAAGAAACTTCTTCTCGAGGCCTTCAGCTTGGCAGACCAAAGACTCTGAACAGACATCAACAGCTTCAGGTGGCTTAGTGGGCTTGAACTTTAGGAGCTTGGCATATTCAGTTAGAAGATGAAGCATGTAGTCATAAACATGGTCCATACTGAGCTCTTCTTGAATGAAATTACTTGCTTGCTTTCCTATGCGCTGTGCCTATGAAAGATTTGGAGTATGAGAAAAGTATTTCAATTGAGAAAAAAACATAGTATATTTCTCACAAAGGTAGAGGAACAATCTAAGAGATTGCAACATAAAGGCACGCTAAAAATTCTAAACAGTGCAAGTAAAAAATCACTGCCACCTGTCCAATTTAGTAGTTGTTTATAACATTAACACTCACCTTGAGTTTTTATTTTTCTAAGATATACTGAATTCATAAAACTATATTACCATTGAAGTACTTTTGATGATGGTAATGTAAAGTTTTGCTTGACAAACTAAACCATTTTTATTAGCATAGTGGTCCCGACTCCCGAGTTTTGAATCCTAGGGCATACCTAAAGCATTTTTATTAGCATGCATCCTAGGGCCTAGGCCATTTGTTTTGTATCAGATTCAGAGGTAGTACCATTTAAAAGTTTTCTTAACTCTGTGGAAAACTAAAAATGACTGTTAGTAGAGAGAAGCCTAGTGAAACAAGTGTTCATTGAATGGTAGATACTTATCCAGCCTAAGTTGAAAAGTAGGGCACTTCCAGTTTTGAATGAAAAACTAGTGTTGGATGAAAAACTTGTATCTTTAAGTTCTTAATCCCATGCTCAAATATTATATATCTGCTTGCTCCATTTTATGTTCTGCCATGTTTTGCATCATGGTGGATTTTTATGCTATTTATGTTTCAACAAAAGGTCTCAGGTTGATTTCTCAGTGCACGCTATTATGGGCAGAAGTTGTTTGCACCAAACTCTATCAGTAACACCTAACTCTATCAGTAACACCATAGACCATACGCTGCATATCAACTGGATTTCAGTAAGTAACAAGCGGAGCTTATTACTATTATTTCCAAATCTAATGTTTAGAATTGCAAAAAATGCCTACAAATGTAGATGACAAAATATAGATAGATGCAAGGTACCAATTGCTTGTGAGAGTTGCCCCAATCAACAGCATATTTTATGGAGGCACATTTATTGTCATCCCGAACAGGCCAATAATGCTGAATCGGCATAAGTGACCTTGAAAAGAAATCATAGTATCTTGGTGTAACCAACAGGGTCATTGAATCACATGCTAGTATATATTTCTCACTGATGGACCATGCTGATCCTTCAATATAGATCTTGTACCTGTAAACGGTTGAGCAAAAGTGCTAAGAACATAAAGTGCTATTGATAGAACTATGTAACTCCTTACTTGTTATAACTCAACAAGAACAAGGAAAAAAAAGACAAACCTGTGAGCACACTGACTACTCAAATCTGAGTCCTTATATCCTGCCTTGCTCTCCTTGAACCAGTCCTAAGTCCCAGAAAACCAAAAATAAAGTAAGACAATAAATATCTTCAGTATTTATCCACAAAAGCAACAGTTACAGAAGTAAACATGTAATAGTATTTACTAAATTCGAAGAGAACCATTTTAATCTATTAGGGGGGAACAGAGGGACTCTACTTTCTCCAAGGATCCCTATTGCAGGGATGGAAAAATTAACAAACAAAAACAAGTTACCTGAGCGTAAATCCTTGCGTTCCAATCATGTGTACTAGAGACATTACACTTAACCAGTTCCTTACGTGTTGCAGAAACTGATGGATTCCCTTTCCAGTAAGCATAAGGCTCTCTATCCATCCATCTCACTCTGTTATTACCATCCTTCAAGTCCTCCTGCAGGGCATCCCATGGCTTTATGTTGATCTCTGGCCTGCCAACGAAGGATAGTCAGTATCATTAGAACCGTTGTACTTCATATGCATCTAAGTTTAAGGTATGGAAACTACGGATTTAAAATTTATTACTGAAAACATTAGCATTAATCGAACTGGCCCTGTTCGCTTGAACTTATCAGCCATGATACAGTGCATATAATTGACATACATTTTTGTGCCATCTTCTTTTGGTGTTCAGTTCCCAATTTATCCCATTTAGACCGAAAAATGTGCAATTCAAACAAGCAAAGCAAGTAGAATTACCATCCCCAGAATGACCAATCTGGGAAGACGATGTCCAGCGTTTTATCATCCCCACAGTAGCGGAACAGCGGTGGCAACATCTCGGCATACTTCCCGCGGTAGAGGTGGGCGCGGACGACGGGCCAGTCGACGGTGTCGAACATGAGGTCGAGATCGGGGACGCGGCCGGGGTAGCGACGGAGCAGCTGCAGGACGCCCCAGATGGTGAAGAGGTCCCGGGTCTGGAACGCCGGGCGGAACCGCTGGACGTAGGCGCGGCCGCCGAGCACGACGAGGCGGAAGGTGGCGGTGAGGCGGGCGCGGTCGAGCATGGCGCGCGTGATCCCGCCCGCGGCGCGCCATGGGCGGAGGTCCTCGTGGATGAAGCGGAAGTAGGACGGGCACGAGTTGTTGGAGGATGGCGAGGCGGCGGCGGAGGAGGAGGAGGGCGGGGGTGGGCTGGGGGAGGCGGGGCAGATGGAGGGAGAGGAGAGCGCGCGCGCGAGGGTTTGGAGGTTTTGGGCGGCGCTTTGGCGGGATTGGAGAGGTTGAAGCTGGCGCAGGAGATGGAGTAGGAGGGAGGTGGTGGTCGGGAAGGGGTAGGAGGCGGCGGTGGTGCGGACGGGCGCGGCGGTTGTAGCTGTTGCGTTTCAGCGTGGTGGAGTACGGCGGCGGCGGGAATGGCCGCCGTGGTGGGGAGGCGCGTTAGGCTCAGGCGTCCCTGCAACGGCAAAGAGTAAAGGCGATGATTTTTTTTTGGCCCAAAAGAAGTCATTAGAATGTTAAACCATTTGGGCCCTAAGGCCCAATGCAGATGTGATTCGGTCATGCAAGCCCAATTATGAGCTAGCACAGGACATTAGCTGAGCTCGTCAGCACTTATTGGAGCATAATTGATCCTAAAAAACTTGTTAGAGCATAATATATTTATTTAGTATTTGTTTAAACCAGAGCATATAATATATTTAGAATATTTAGGCCATGTTTGGCAGGGCTCTTTTTCTTATTCCATAATAAAAGACTGGCTTCAGAGAGCCGTTTAATGATTTTTATTCGCTGTTAGCCTTAGTATGAGTGAGCAAATAAGCGTGCAAACTCCAGCTGTTAGAACACAGGGCCCATCCTAATGCCGCAGCTGGCCTCCAAAACGTGTTTCTCGGAGAGTTTTGGGGTGGGAAAGGAGCCAAATAGATTATTGCTTCCTGGCCTCCTCCTCAAAGCCCTAAAAACATGCTCTCACAGGAAGCCATTTTGCCAAACGATTTAAAAAAAGATCGCTTGTCACGTCAAATTTTAGCGACAATGGGTGGATATCTGTCTTGGTCACAAAGACGTGAGTAAAAAAAAAATATTGCCTCACTAGTGAAGTGAAGAACAAGCGCCTTTTTAGTTATAAACCAGACTCTTTCAACTGCTTGCATATTTTTTTTAGAGTTTTCCTGCATATTTTTTTTTCTCGCACGAATATATCTCCTTTCTTTACATGTCGGGTTGTTAATCCCTCTTTTTCTTATTCTTACATAATAAAAGACTGTAAATATCTTTATTTTTTTTGTTTTTCTCTTGATTATTTTTCTTTCAGAATTAGTGATTTTTATTCGCTGTTAGCCTTAGTATGAGTGAGCAAATAAGCGTGCAATAGAAATCCAGCTGTTAGACACAGGGCCCATCCTAACCGGCGCGTGCCGCAGCTGGCTGCTCCACCCGCAGACGAATGCTGCCGTTTCTGACAAACGGAGAAAGCAACCGACGGAGCAAGATTCTCGAGGATTCATGCGAGGTACTCCGTCCGTTCTAAAAAAGATTATTGTTTTAGCTTTGAACCTGGATAAGTGTTTGTCTAGATTCAAAGCCAGAACAACCGGCTTTTTAAGACGGAGGGAATACTTTTTAAGTAAATGAACAGTATTTTATTCTCACAATAAATTAGCATAAGCATCAACATACGTCAAATTTTAGCGAAACAAACAGCATATATCTGCTTGGTCACAAAGACGTGGCGAGCTTGCAGGGTCCATTTGCCTCTGTGATGTGAACTGTTCGTGAGGAGCCATGAACAAGCGCTCCTTGCCTCTTGGGTTTTCAGTCCGTGTTTAGTTGGGAGAAAAGTTAAAATTTGGCTACTGTATTATTTTCGTTTTTATTTGGTAATTAGCGTTCAATCATGAACTAATTAGGCTCAAAACGTTCGTCTCGTGATTTCCAACCAAACTATGCAATTAGTTTTTTTTATCTACATTTAATGCTCCGTACACGTATCGCAAGATTCGATGTGATGACTACCGTAGCACTTTTGGAAAAAGTTTTTCAACTAAGGCCTTGTTTAGATGCCATCCAAATTCCAAGTTTTTTCACTCTCTCTCCATCACATCAATTTTTAGCCACTTGCATGGAGTATTAAATATAGGTAAAAAAAATAACTAATTACACAGTTTAGTTGGAAAATCACAAGATGAATCTTTTGAGCCTAGTTGATCCACGATTGGACAATATTTACCAAATAAGACGAAAATAATACTATTCATCGGGTTAAAAAAAAATTGTAAAGTAAACGAGGCCTAAACGCGGGCTCAATTTCGCGCGCTGTGTCTTTCCACTTGAACCCGTTCTTTAACGACGACTAGCCTACACCGCTACACGAACTCCCATGATCGCACCAATCCGTCTGCACGAACGAGCAGTCGATGTCGAGCACCGTGACGTGCCGGGCAAAACAGAGGAGTATAATCTAGCTAGCCGCTAGCCTACCTACGGACCTACTGGTCTTTCTGCGCCGGCGGCCAAAGGCGTGGGTAGGGCCCGTAGGGGGCACGGAGCTCGCCGGACTGAGAAAGTAGCAAGCCGCCTCTTCCCTCGATCTGGGGTCCCCTAGCGTTCACGCACCGCCGCCTTATAAGTCTCGTTCAGTCGCTCTCATTGTCTTTAGTGGCCACTACACGACGATTCATCATCATAAAATAAAGTCAGCTAAAGAAGTTGTTCTCGCTTTTCACGAAATTAACTTTTTTTTTAACTTTAACCAATTATATATATATAATTAATAATTATAATACAAAATTAGTATAATTAGATAGATCGTTGAATATACTTTCAAAATAAATTTATTTTGAGATATAAATGTTACACGTATTTTCTATAAATCTAGTCAAAATTGAAAAAGTTTGATCCGCACGTATCCCGTAACGTCGTACTTTTTTGGACGGAGGGAGTAGACTTTGGCCTTGTTTAGATTGAAAAAAATTTCAACCCGATGAATAGTAGCACTTTCGTCTTATTTGATAAATATTGTCTAATCGTGGACCAACTAAGCTCAAAAGATTCATCTCGTGATTTCCAACTAAACTGTGCAATTAATTATTTTTTTACCTATATTTAATGCTCTATGCAAACGGCTAAAAATTGATGTGATGGAGAGAAAGTGAAAAAACTTGAAATTTTGAGGGTATCTAAACAAGGCCTTTGATGTCTAGCTCACTCCTTTCTGAACTACGGGAAGTCTAGAACTAATCAATCATGCAGCAATTATGGAGGAGAAAACTGTTTTTTTTTCTGCCAACTAAGGCCATGAAAATAACTCTAGGTCATGTTGTGTTGTGGCCTTGATTACCAAGTCAGCCCGGCGAACGCAATGCAGAATTTAGAATTAGGTGCACTGCACACAAGGGTTTTCTGCTGGCTGCTGCCGCGGCAACCATTTGCAGGCCAAACAGAGCTCAACAGCAAGGCGCGCGGCTAGAAAGGAAAAACCGCCAGCTCCACGCCTCCACGTCCGAAATTAGAAATACCCAAACCCACTCGCGGCTTTGTTCTGATCTCAGAATATAGCAAGCTAATTCGCGCACTATTGTTCTCAGAAAGGAAGTTATTATTCCATCGCTGGTCAAATTTTTCAGTTTGTAACAAGAAATCATTTTCTAACGTCCAAAAGAAAAAAGAAAAAGAAGAAGAGGGAGATTCTCGCGATCATGCGGAAGAAGCAGCAGCACCGCAACAAAAAGGATGCGCCGATCGTGACACGACAAGAAGGAATCAGAGAGCGTGGACTCACAGCGGTTGTGGCGGTGATCCAGCGGCCCGAGACGACCACCCCGACGGCGACGATGGAGAGGAAGAGGAAGGCGGCGGCGGTCCTCGACAGCGCCGCCGCGAGCACGGTGCGCACCCGGCAGTCCGCTGCTGCCGGGGCCGCCGTCGCCATGGCAGCCGGCCGCCGGAGCCGCGACGGTGAGTGCGCGCGCCCGGCCGACCCGGGTGCGGGGGTGCGGGAAAGCAGAGGAGTCAGGAGAGGCAGACTGTGCTTCCTCTGCTGCTGCTGGAAGAATGGACTAGTAATCTGGGCCGGAGCGCCCTCGTGAGCTCTCAGTCATGACGTCCCCAACGGCGCCGAGGGCGACGGCTTTATTTCTGAGGCCTGCGCGGGCAAGCAGTGCGCGAGGCGGCACGGGGGAAAGGACGCTAGCACTAGCAGGCAGGCAACTGTGAATCTGTGATCGCCCCCATGGTCCATGTATGATGCATTTGGGAATTGCGACAGGGTCACAGGGAGTATTGGTACGTGAGGAAAGTTTTTCTTTTACCAAACCCAGTAACACATACACGTATGAACATACGCACGAATACCCTCTCTCTGTGTAACTGAGTGATGGACCGATAATAAATCTTGAGATTAACAAAGTTATCGTAGACATCTTGCTGTCGGCTTATCTAAAATAATATCACGGTTGGAATGCGGCAGCTATATGTGATCATTAGACCCTTGATTCGGTGATATTACTCTTCCCATTCAACTCTTTTGAGTTTGGCTTTAAATTTAATGATGGATGGAACCTAATGATGGAACGAGGAAGAGCAGAGCATGAGCTAGGGGGGCACCGGTGTTGAGGGAGAAGACGACTAGGCGAGCGTAAAGGGCTGCCGTGAGGTAAGGCGACACTCCGAGTGTAGCACCGCGTAGGCGCAGTGGCTGCGTGCGGAGGGTGAGGGCGTGCTGTCAAGGTGTGCAAGCGAGGATGTGCGGCTGCAGCCGAGCTCACTGGAAGAGGAAGAGGAGTGACACTCGGTCGAGCTCGCTTGCAGGCGGCGGCGCGAGCAACTACCCCCTAGAGGGCTACTAGGCCAGAACATGTAATCACTGTCACTATCAGACCTTCAATACCAGTTATGACGGAGCTAATAGTGATAAGTATATCACTGCTGGTTCGTAGCTTCAACCAACAATAATAGCACACCCGATAATGATAGGTGGACTATCATTGCTGGTTCGTGGCCATATGATATAGTAGCAATTTAGTCGTTATTAGTTGTTGTAGCCTGATTTAGCCTGTTATTTTGTTTGAGGAGAGAGATCGCTAAACGTCTTAGCCCATATTTTAGACTTTAGAATACCGGTAAAAAAGGATATTTACTTTACAAATTCGCTCTATATTTCTTTGACCAAATTTGGAGGTTCCTCCATACCTCCTACTCTCTAGACGTGTCAACTGTCAACCGTCACTTCTCCCACGCCTCCACTTGTCTCACCACATCCTCTCTCGCTCTTCGCAGCACCTCTAGTTCCTTGGCACTGTAAGCCGGCTGCAGCCTGCAGGGGCCTTCGCCATTCGCGCTGGCCACCACGGTGTCCATCATGAACTGCCTCTCCAGCCCCCGCCTTCCCCGGGTCATGGACTCGACGGTGACCTCCGCGGCGCCGCGCGGCACCGCGGGCCTGTACCGCAGCAGCCCGGCGTACTCTGTCAGGAGGTGGAACATGTAGTCGTAGACGCGGTCCATCGTCAGCTCCTCCTGGATGAACCTGCTCGCGTTCCCTGCCATCTCCTGCGCCTTCCATTGCCAGACAAGAGCGTTTGGTCCTCTGTTCGGAATTGGTAGGGTACGGAAGGTGTGAAGTCGATCGGGGAAGGTACCCTGTCCGTGTGAGCGTTGCCCCAGTCCACGGCGTACTTGATGGACCGGTACATGCCGCGGACGGGCCAGTAGTGCCGCAGCGGCGACAGCCCCCGCGAGAAGAAGTCGTGGAACCTCGGCCGCACCATGAGCGCCACCGAGTCGCACGCCAGGATGTAAATCTTGTACCTACTGACCTTCGATGTAAATCTTGTACCTGCGCACACGTAAACCTTCGATGTAAATCTTGTACCTGCGCACACGTGCGCAAAGCATACTAAAATGTGACAGCAGCTAGCTGTGATGTTATGGAGAGCAAGCTCATGTGATTCTACCTGTGCGTGCACTGCTTGGACAGGTCCGATCCCCTGAATCCGTGCCGCACCTCCTTTCCCCAGTCCTGAAAGTTGTAGCCTCCCGTGTCAGTGTCACGTCACGTGCCATGCCGTGGTGAGTGTGTTTGCGCACGCCTGGACGATTCAGGGAGGAGTTGTACCTGCGCGTTCCAGTCACGCTTGCCGGACGCGTTGCACCTGAGGAGGAGCAGGCGTTCGGCGCCCACCTTGGGGTTCCCTTTCCAGTACGCGTACGGCGCCCTGTCCATCCAGTTCACCATGGCGTTCCCTTCGTCGATCTCCTCCGCAGCGCTTCCCATGGCTTTATGTTAAGCTCAGGCCTTTCAAATTCAAAGAAGAACGGAGCACTTTGTGACTCGAGAGATTACGGAGCATTACGAACATACATGATCATGCATGGTTATGGCGAAGAACGGCAACGTGCGTATATATTTACCAACCCCAGAATGACCAGTCAGGGAAAGCGATGTCCAGCGTCGTCTCGCTGCCGCAGTACCGGAACAGCGGCGACGGCGGAGCCTGGGATAGCTGGTGGCGGTCGCCAGCGCTGACGACGGGCAGGTCCTCACAGTCGAACATGAGGTCGAGGTCCGGGACGCGGCAGGGGTAGCGGCGGAGCAGCTGCAGGATGCCCCACTGCGTGAACGCGGCCCGCGTCTGGAAGCACCGGCCGTAGAGCGCCACGTACAGGCGGCCCGCGACCACGGTGACCCGGAACTTGGGCGCGAATAACCGGCGCGCGCCCTCCACCGCGTCGCGCGTGACTCCCGCGGCGCTCCACGGCCGCAGGTCCTCATGGATCCACCGGAAGTAGGACGGGCAGTCCGGCGGCGGCGCGGCTGCTTCCGCGGGAGCCGGGGCGGGTGGCGCTGTCGCTGGCACTGGCACCTCTCGAGGCGGTGGCGCGGAACTGGCCGCCGCGGACGGCGTTTGGTTCGTGCTCGCGCCGACGACGCCGGTGAACCGTGGCGGACCCGGCGCTGGCTTCGGCCCCGTTGCGGCGTTGTGTGCTATGGATTGAGTGGCGACAGGAGTGATCGGAGTGACCTGTAACTTAGAATCAGTAAAAAAATTGCATAAGATGCACCATGTATGTGTTGTAAGAGAGAAGCAATTCATACACACTATTCTTTTAGCTTGACCCTTTCTTGAAGAAAAATCGTAGAACGGAGTTTTGGGTTTGACAATCGGGTGTGCAGGTTCGGTTGTGCGACGACAGAAACTTGTCGGCAGCCGTGCGCCTGTTCTAACGTAACGTGGTTATTCAACAACCAACTAAGCATATGGCTGAACAGATTACCCAACTACTGCTCGCCATGTGTGTCGAGAGTTAAGAATCGATCAAGAGACGGACATCACAGAAGAGAAAGTGTGCCATGGAAGAAAAAAAAAACAAGTATGTATTGCTGGGAGCCTGGGAGCCATACTCTAGCGCTGACAGACATCCAGCAGGCAGAGACGAGAGCTCCGGCGACGAGCGCGGCGAAGAAGACGAACACGCCGCTGTAATAAGGCTCTGCAGCAGCCAGGCTCCGAGCGAGCCGGGACAACGCCTTCGGTGCCGCCGCGGCCTCCATCGTCCGTCCCTCAATCATATGGCATACGGCCGGTGTTCGCCGAGCGAGGACGAGCTGACAACAGACGCACGATCGAGGGCCGAGGCGACGAAAACACCACGCCGTGGTCCCTTTTCACTCCCCCGCTTCCCTATCGCGGTAAGCCGGTAACCGAGCTCATGTGCCTGAATTGAATTTCCTGCTCGGCCGTTCAGTTGTGCCTGGCTTGTTTGGGCGTGTAGGAAGGATGGGGAAGGGGAACGCATGGATCAACCAAGACCGCGACGCGATGCAGGGCGGCTCGGTATCGTCGCCACTGGATCCCTGATGCTGACCGCATGCCTACTCATTCCGCTCCCTCCGTGCCGTCTGCTCACTGCAGCGTCGGAATCAGGTACTGAAGACGAACGGTGGCCAGCCGCCGGATGGTTGTTTTCGCCTTTGGCCGCGTGCTGAGTCTGCTGACCTGAAGGTCGCGTACGTGGGTGGAGCTTCCACGAGCTTCCATTCTCTCCTGCTGATTTGCGTCATTGAACGTCACCGCGATTTTTATCCATGCACGTTAACAAAACTAGTCTCGTATCGCTTCTGGTTAGCTGCGCGGCTGCGCCTGCACTCTGCAGCTGTTCATTCGCTGCCTTGCTTCTCCGGGTCGTTGTGTTAGGAAGTGTACAGACACCAGACTCAACCAACCTCACCTGACCTTGGATAGGGACCGGGCAGAGAACTCGTGTACTTCCTCTCTGTTCCGATCACTGTGTAATTCTAGATTTAGGACTGGTAAACAATTATAAAGTCTAACCAAATTTATAGAAAATAATATCAACATTTATGTTTTTAAATAGGTCTACTATAAAAATATGTTTGGATATTTTTTTTAAAAAAAAAGGTTTCCGCGTGAACGTGTCAATGACGGCGGCTTGGACCTGCCAACTGCCACATGCTGTTTTAAAATGGACTATCAAATTCTGGGATTCATGAGAAAATATTCAATATCATACTGCATTTTTGGCTATCTATATATTCAGTGTAAACTACATCTCTAATGGAATTGTAAAAACCGTCTAAAAAATTATACTTAAATTTAAAACAACACATATCCACAATGCATATGCATATATAGATGTACGTTGTCACAAATTTTTAGAACTTATGATCTAAATTCATGTGAATAAAAAAATTCAGGTGTTGTCTCATAATGCGTATGCACATAAAATTTGATATTTCCGTATGATTTTTTATGAAATAATTTTTCTCAATTGTATGGCCATGTATATATATAGAAACATTTTGTGCGTGCATAGTTTCGAATTGTTTATGTTTTTTATAAATTATATTTCGGGAGTATGTTTTTGTATGTTTTTTTACGAAGACTAGTTTGGACTGAATATTTTCCCGGATTCACCGGACTGACATTTTTCACCGGACTGACGATTAACACGTCTAGCCACTCTCTGCCTCTCTGGTGTTGTTTTCATTCCGCCCATGCTGGTCAGTGGTGAACGTACGGGTTGGGCTTGGGCCCACAACGGTGAGGTGTCTAACTGTCTATGCTTTGCGTCGATATGTAGGGAGCACGGTGGATCAGCTCATTGGCTCGTTGCAGGGTTCGACAAAAATCAAAGCAGCCTCCCCTCTATCTTTCTTCCTCCAGGATATGGCGCCGCAGGTATGGTTCCAGTTCGTTGCAGAGGTCGTCGAATGCTTCGCTGCCTCAGGCTGTTCCCGGATAGAGTTCTAATTAACTCCTGGGCTTCTTCCCATGCCAGCAGAAGGTGGTCTTGAAGATCTCCGCCATGAGCGATGAGAAGGTGAAGCAGAAGGCAATGGAAACTGTTGCAGATATCTACGGTAAGGTTTTGATTTTAGCTAGCTTCAACCGTCACAGTGTCGCCTCTCACTTAATCGCCCTTCTTCAGTTATTCTCTTTTCAGCTTCTTCAGTTCGGCTATTCTTTTATCCTGCATCGGTAAAGCGAGTCATTATTGGTTTCTCTGTTAGGAAATTGAGCTATCCTGCTATATATACATATGAGCATATATGCTGTTTTCTTTCTTTTCTTCATTTATATGTATGATCTTAATAAACAGGAATCAATTCGATAGCTGCTGATCACAAAGATCAGAAGATGACTGTAATCGGTGAAATGGACACCGTCCTCATTGCCAAGAAGTTGAAGAAGTTCGGAAAGATCGACGTCGTCTCGGTCGGCCCAGCTAAGGAAGAGAAGAAGGACGAGAAGAAAGAGGGGAAGAAGTGATCAATCTTTGCTAACTCAGCATCGTCACCTCATCTGGTTCTTGTTGCAGGACGACACACAGTGTTTTGCATACGATTCTTGCTTCCTAGCTTAGCAGCGTGTACCTTATTAGAACAAGCCTGGTTTATACCATACGGTAATCTAGCCTCTCATCTGGTTATCTGCACATGTACGGTTATAGCAGTTATAAATCAGATCCATTTCTTATAGGGATATAGAATTTTTTTTTATGCTACTCTTGACTCTTGATTATTATTACTAGTACCTCGAACATGATATGGACTAACATTTTTTAAGAGAAACAAAATGTTTTAATAAGAGATATAAGTATCAAAATCCGTGGACGAAATTAGGGCATATAGCTATTTAAAACTGGAGGAAGGATGCCATGTGGGCTGTTAATTAGTTGGTACAATATAAACAAACATTTTAGCCCACAATGCAGTGTCTCAGATGTCATGTTTTCTCTATCAGAATATGGTCTAGCTGCAGTTTTTTATTTTAAAAAACTCCAGAGTGCTACTTAAAAACACGTAGCTGTTGTGAAACACTTTGCCATCGGCAAGTGGTAACAATCCAAACAAGACTGCAAAAGTCTCAACGTATATTACAGGACGGACCATTAACGATTAACCAGTCCAGAAAAACGGTAAAAAAGAAGCCCGAAGGCCCGAGCCCCACTAGCCATCATTCCGTATGAGGCCGGCCCCCGGCCCTAAACCATACAAGACTGCGCCGCCTCCGAGTCGATCTCAATTCAATCCTCCTTGGAAGGGTCCATGACGTGGCCTAGGAACAAGAGCTCGGCCTTCTCGTACTCGACGATCGCGAACATGAACGGATGGTCCGCCACAAACCTCATCGGCGGCGGCGGGGGTGACCAGCAGGGACCAGTTGGGCTCAAAAAGGAGTACGTCGCTGCAACAGCTGTCGTGCCTTCCTCGTCGACCTCCACGGCGCACGTCTGCCTCATGGCGGACACGTAGAGCCCCTCGGGTGGCATGTTCGACACCATCCCCGACAGGTCTGCAGCGTACGTGAACGGCTCGGACAGCCCGAGCTGCCGGAGCGCGTTCACCGCGTCGAACGCGAAGGAGAACTTGAACTTGGGGACCTTGCACGGGCAGACTTCCTGCTCGCGCCGGGGCGCGCACCGCATGACAAAATCCGGCTCGGTGACAAGAGCGTGCGGTCCACAAAGATGCCAGCGGCGAAGGAGAGTTGTGGCCACGTGGTCACGTTGCTGAGGAGCCTCGCAATGGCCACGTCGAGGTGGTGCGTGTTTTCGGAGCCCAGGAACGTGAGCAGCTGGCGCAGCGTCGGGCCGTGCGTGCCCACGGCAAGCAGCGCGAGTCCAGCCCTGAGGGACATAGGCGAGAAGATGAAATTGGACTGCTCCGTTATCGCCTCCATGCCAGCGTGCCAAGCGACTTGCAAGCAACAGTCCATGGCGAACGGTTATTAGATTAATTAACTTGAAGTTGATTTCGATCGTTAGCAGAGAGAACCTAATTAGATTACGGTGACGTGATTATTTAAAGGTTCTGCGCTGTTGTGCGTAATGCGGAGCAAATTACTTCTGGAGGTGTTTGTGGAAAAGCAGGGGAAAGAGGACCCATCGGGTTGTATTTATAGACCGAAGCCCTCGCATAGTCGCATCCGCTTCGAATTCGAACTGATGTCATGGGTTCAATTCAAAGTTTCAAACAGAACACAGTTGCACTCTTCTGAATGCTCAGCGACGCCCTCGGCCCTCCCCTCTAGCTGACCGGAATTGGGGCGTAGCCCCGCGGTTCCTCGACGTGCGCCGGCGTGACTGCGGCGACGACGACGGAGGCGCCGAACAGCACGACGACGAGCGCCGTGAAGTTGACCAGGAACGCCTCGGCGCCGTACTTGTCGAGCCCCCCGCTCTCCAGGAAGGTGAGCTTCTCCAGGAACCCGAGCTCCGCGGTCGCCAGCGCCAGAACGTAGACGAAGAGCCCGAACAGCGCGTGCCAGGGCAGCGCGCTGCGCCTCACGCTCGGCGCCGCGCCGGGGAAGAAGAAGGTCACGAACCCGAACACCCACTGCGAGCAACATCATCGACAGACAATCAGCTAATCCACATGCAAGGCTGCAAGAACAGGGGAAGGCTGCAGATTGTACGCCGGCGCGTAACGCGTCACCTGAATGGAGTACAGAGAGATGGTTCCGATCCCGAGCCACGAGTGCAGGCTGTAGAGGTTGGCGATGCCGCTATCGTTGTGGTACTTGAACGCGCAGTAGATGCCGAAGGCGCCGAGTACAGTCGCGATGGCGTGGAGGATCAGATGCGTCAGCTTGGCTGTGTCGTGGTTCAGTTTTGGAAACACCTTGTAGATCATAATGGCTGCCATACAGTGGATCGGGAGAAACCAACGTTTAGTGCTGATATGGCAGACATGGAACTAAAATGAGTATGATTTTGTGTTGCTGTTACCTTCACTGCCGAGGATAATGTAGCCAATCAGCATAAGAACAGGGTGAACCTGCAATAGACACACAAGAAAACCACAGAATTACAGCAATTGACAAGTAACGACATAGGATAAGCTACATTAGTAACGACAAAGGATAAGCTACAGCTTACATTGGTCATAAATCAATGCAGCGGTAGAGAAAAGGTGCAAGTTTTTAAGCTTGGTAACACTCTGCACAGTAGTGACCCAGGGCAGAGACAGACTGACATTTAATCTAGGTTCTTGTGCAAGACATGGCATGATCCAAGCGAAGTTAAGCTACAGTACATCTGTACGTGAATCCATGTAGTAGTAAAAAACAAAAAAATTAAGCTTAGTGTAAAACGCTGCACATTAGTGATCCAAGGCAGAGCCAGACATACAAGGAGACAGAGAAGAAAGTCTTAACCGTGATAACATATGTTTGTTCAAGCTGCGTACTTTCTTCAGATTGTAGAGGCAGGGACCTTAAGTTATCCATAGAAGTCACCGATTCCAGTGAACATTCTCTTGGAGCCATTCAAGGGTTAACGTAACATTCTGCATTATTTACAACGTAGCATTCCCAAACTGCAAGCCATGTTCCGAAGCAGGGTAGAACAACAAACGGGGAATCGTTAGCTTTGTTGAAAGTTTAAGACCAGTCTCTATGTGGTGTTGCTTTTCTTTTGCTCTCAAAGTCTCTGCGCCATTTCCGTCTCATTTCCTATGTGTACGAACATGAGGTACGGGGCAGGTCAACGCCAAGAGAGCGTCTAAATACTCGATGGCATTTTGTGATTGCTCTCTTGCTGTAGACTTGTAGCATCTAGCCATCTACTATGTTCATGAATTGGGCCCAAAGAGTACTTACTTTCTTCTACCTCCAGATCAAATCTGTCATACAGTTCCCATGAAATCAAACGCTCAAAGCTCAAAAAAGCTGACGATTTCCATGAAAAATCCCAGATTCTGGGAACAGTGTCGCGCACTACCGCTAAGAAGCGAACATACGCTACGGTCCGATATTCTTCTTTGCAGCTAAAGCCGCACCGCGCGCTGACGTGGCTCGCAACAAGCAAGCAAGGAACAACTACAGAGGGAACGAAGCTAAGCCAAATCCCGAAGGCGGATGCAAGTTGCAAACGAAAGAGGAGGGAACGGGGCGGTCCGGTGCTTACGTTGAAGATGAGGTTCTTGTTCTGCGCCTCGAGCGCGAGGCCGCCGCGGAAGTGGACGCACCACACCAGCACCAGCACCGCCGCCACCGCGGCCAGCGCGTGCGCCGCGTACGTAAACGGCGTCGCCTTCACGCCCAGCCCCATCTCGCTCTGCTTCTCCTCCTCCTCCTCCGATCCGCTTCTGCCCCGGCCGTACGGTGGCAGCTCGTGCTCAGCTCACTAGCTCAGGCTGCTGGAGCGGTGGAGCCTGGAGGAGAGACTAGAGAGCGTGAACTGAGAAGCTTGCGGAGTACATACGGCCTCCTCGTCGTTTATGAGAGGGAGAGGGACTGAGGTGAGCGAGAGCGAGAGGGAGAGGTGTTTCAGTTCTCTCCCCTCCTGTTTCGCTGTGGTTGGTTGGTGGCTGAAGAAATGAAAAGCTGCTGCGTGCTACAAGGCCGGAAAGGCGTCCTTGTTCGTGGCTGGGTGGCTGGGTGGATCCGGAGAAGTGGAGATGGGGACTTGACCGTAAGGTTACCCCGACCTGTTCTCATCAAACACCCCTCCCGTAAGAAAGGAATCCTATGGCACGTCGGTCAGCAAAGCCGTTGGGTGCTTTGTTTATTCTGCCGCCCACATTCTTTTTCTAATCTCTGATCGCTTGTTCTAGTTGATTTGGCTCAACCTCCCACATTGGCCGTAACCTGTGAGGTGCAATCAGTCAAACCTGTCTGCACTGCGATTAGCGCCGTGGCATGTGGCATCTGAATCTTCCACAGGCTATCCGAGGCCCATGTCAGGGAGGAGGGGGGACGGCGGGACGCCGTTGTCTGTGGCAGCGAACGTGGGCAGGGCCCAGCCGACCGAGTCCGACGCCGATGCAGGCCAACACGATCGGGAGCCAGTTCAGCGTTAGGATTGGACGCGCACGAGATCCACGAGCTGTCGACCCGTCTTGGCTCTCGATTGGAACGGCAGGTGAATAAAAACCAAGAGTTGTCGTACGTGAGTACTCCGTAGGTAACCTAGACCATAGCCTTGAATGCAGCAATTTCGTAGAAATCATGCAGATATGAATTAATATGATTTTATAGAAAAAACACACGACCAGATTTTTTTTCACATTCCAAACATGTCTTTATTGGGTGCGAAGCCTGGATTTAGGGTATGACTTTCTTTACATGGTTGTTCAATTTTTGGTTTTGGCTTCTGTTTTCCAGTAATGCTCCCACGCGGCGGACGCCTCCGATCCACCTGTGCCTGTACCTGTACCGTTAGATGCGTGCCTTGAAAAAAATTAGCCGCCGCAACTCTCTCTCTCTTCAGACGGACCCAATCCACCCACGCCTGTCCGTATGTGTGCCTTGGAAAATATCAGCCACCGCTCCTCTCTCTTGTGCCTCCCTGCCTCGGCTTTTCTCTCTCTTGTATGCCTCCAACGCTACTCCTTCCCTATCTCTCTCGCTTATGTTGCAATAAGTGTTTTCATGTTGCAAGTTGCGGCCTGGCGGCCTCGGTGGCTATAAGCCTCGGCACAAATCGTTCCCCGGCGTGGAGCGTATGGCCGGCGGCCCTCGCTATACATATTGGCCCAATGGCGTCCCTAGATCCGCAAGGCGGACCAGGGTAGCGGCAAGCCAAGTCCACACAGTGGCTCCCGGTGGATCCGCTTCCTCTCCCAATCGTAAGGACAGTAGAGTCGCCTCCTTGTTGTCGTCCCATCGTCGAGCCCCCGCCTATAAGTGCTGCCGGCACGCCATCGCCTCCTCCAGTGAAATCCACACACCGATGAGCCTCTATTCTCCCAAGTAATAAAGAGATGTTGCGCTGCGCTGAAAGTACATGTTGCAAGAGTATATTTCAAGTGTTTCAGAGGTATGTTGCAAGTGCTTCATACGGATGTTGCAAAAGTAGATCAAGATGTTGCATATGTTGCATATGTTGCAAGTGTTTCAGATGAATGTTGCAAAAGTTTGTCCAAAATGTTTCATCTATTTCAGATGTATATTGCAAGCATTTTGATGTAGATGTTGCATACGCTTCAAGCATATGTTGCAAGAGTATGTTACAAATGTTTTGTCTGTTTTCAGTCTTATGTTGCAACAAGTGTTTTCATGTTGCAAGTTGCATTTGTTTTATCTAGATGTTGCAGTGGCTACACACGTATGTTGTAATTGTACGTTCCAAATGTTTCAGCTCTTTCAGACGTATGTTGCACGTGTTTTATCTGGATGTTACATATGTTGCAGTGGCTATATACATATATTGCAAGCTTATGTTTCAAATGTTTCACTTGTTTCAGACGTATTTTTGCAGTAAATGCTTCATGTTGCAAGTGTTTTCATTAAGCGAGGAAGCGAAAAGCGGGAGGCGATCCTCTGCAGATTTGATTGGTGCAGTTCCCCACGTCCATCTTGCAGAATTATTTTGATTGCAAATGCAAAGCATAAAGCATTTCGTGGTAGCAAGCTGTATCAGGACAGCAATGGCAATTTCCTAGGCAGAAATGATGGCTGAATTTGATCCAAGAGCATGTTCAGCGATAACAAAATGATAGCATACACACCTTGGCATGGCGAGAATGAGGTAATAGCGTATCAGGTCTGAAATAATTAGGCGTGCAGCATGCGAAAGTGTGTGGCCAGGCATCCGGGCGCGAAAAGCAGAGTCTACCACCCCTGTCCATCCTACAATGGCCCAGGCTTCCACTCCACCGATCGAGAGTCCACGTCGGTCCAGTGTACCCCAACAGCTCGAAAAACACAACCCTTCCTCCACTCCCAATCGCCACTCCATTCCCCACACCCTAACCCTATCTACCTTGCGCCGTGAGCTGTGGCGGTGGCGTAAGAGATGGCAAAGGGCTCAAGCCATTGTGTACGACAACTCACTTGGGATGGGGGAGCGGTGGCGGAGGAGCGATAATGATGCAGCGTCGGTAAATGAGCAGCCAAGCAAGGAAGGGCTTGACACAAGTCTAAGTGTGAAACTGGCAGGAAGCAAAAAGCGAGAGAGATGGTCGGAGAAGCGGCACGGCTTCACCGGAGCGCGATTTTTTTTAGAGAAAGGAGTGGTGATTGGTTGGCATCAACGCAGCCGACTTCCGTTCCTTAGATGACAAGCGAAGGCTTGCATCTTGAGGCTGGCGGAAGTAGGCGGAGGGCGCATGTGGAGTTAAAGCGATCCATCCAATGAGGGCGATGGCGACCAAGCATATCGCCAGAAGCGAAGCTTTTCCAAATTGAAGGAAGTACTTGACCGGCGGTGGTGGCGAGCTTGAAAATGATGTTCTAGAAGATTAAGTATGAAGGTGCGCATGGGGTAGGCCGACGGTGGTGAGCAGTTAGGGTGTAAGATTCGTCATTTAAACGAATGCATGGTATTGCAAGGGCAGTCTACGGCACTTTTGGCTATTTGCATTTTAGAGGACCAGCCCAGCAGATGGACATGCGACATTGGAACAGTTGGGACAGTTTGATGTAAACTGAAGTAAAAAAACCGACACCAAATTTATTAGTTTTCTATTTTGTAAAGGACTGACCGGCTACTGATTTCCAAAAACTGGAGTTTTTCAAAACAAAAAAAAAACAAATCAAATTTTTTGTTTAAATTGATTACCCAATTCTAACTTGATTTGAGCATAGGGAGGCCGTTTTGACAATACCAACCATAATCACACATCATGAAATGCACACGCGTGCACGCATATTTATTGAGTTGGCAAGAGGGCAACAACCAAGTCGGCTTTTGTTTTTAGACACAAAACAAAGCTAAAAGTAAAAAATGAGACCGAAAATTACGGAGAATGTAGAAACAAAACTAACTAGACTAAGTCTCTAATCTCCTCCGACTAATCTAATTCATAGGCAAGGAATAAAAGAGAGGGGAAGATAAAAGAAAGTTAATGCTAAAGTGTAAGTGCATCAAACCTATTAGTGAGTTATGTAGAATAGATGACGATGTACATAAAGAACTAATGATGTTTGATGAGAATTTCAGTTATATAATAGTGTGAAAAGTGCAAATGGAAACGTGAGACCCCTCAAGTTCTAATTCAAAGAAAACTATGCAAAATTGATCTAGGTTCTAGACTTCTAAGAATTTTAATCTATTTCAATTATAGGATTTTAGTGCACCATTAGATAATTAGGGATGTAAACTAAAACATTATATAATTCTATTATAGCAAGCTGGACTCATCTGTTTACTTTATGTTCGCATGATCTTTTTATTGCGTTTGGTACTTTATGTAGTCGTGTATCTATATGCTACATTTATGGTGACTCAAAATTTATATAACATTAGATCACACTAGTTATAAATTCTGGCCACGCTGTCTAAGAGAGATGAAACTCATACAACCTTTTTTTTTTTAAAAAAAACTCATACAACCTTGTTAATGGGAATAACCCGGATCCTCATCCTCCTCATGGCTACCTTGGAGGTTCACCCAGGCGGTTTGGTCTATAAATACAACCCGATGGGTCCTCTTTCCCCAGCTTTTCCACGAACACCTCTATAACTAACTAATCACGTCGCCGTAATCTGACCAGGTTCTCTGCTAATAATCGAAATCACTTCACGGTAACCTAATAGCCGCTCGCCATGGAATATTGCTTGCAAGTCGCTTGGTACCCCGGCATGGAGGCGATAACCAAGCAATCCGATTTTATCTTCCCGCCTATGTCCCTCAGGGCTGGGCTCGCGCTGCTTGCCGTGGGCACGCAGGGCCCGACGTTGCGGCAGCTGCTCACGTTCCTGGGCTCCGAAAACACGGGCCACCTCGATGTGGCCATTGCGAGGCTCCTCACCAACGTGAGCACGTGGCCACAGCTCTCCTTCGCCGCCGGCATCTTCGTGGACCGCACGCTTTTCCTCTCGCCGGAGTTTGTGTCCTCCGCCGTCTCTGCTCACCACGCCGTCGCAAGATCTGTCGATTTCAAGAATCAGCCTGCGGCGGCGACCGCTGAGGTGAACGCTTTCATCGAGCAGGCCACGGTGGGGCGCATACGGAACCTCCTGTCCGATGGCGCGGTTCACGGCGACACCAAGGTCGTCCTCGCCAACGGCATGCACTTCAAGGCGACGTGGGCACGGAGGTTCGACCCGTCGGATACCGTTCGCGGCAACTTCTACCGCCGTGACGGCAAGCCCGTGCGGGTGCC